TACAAAGTAAATTTTGCAAATATTTGACTATTTTGCTTGCCTTTTAAAAGGTTTAGCATGACGTAAGTACTTTAAAGTGGTGAATTATATAAGCCTACGAATTTTATAGAAATTGTGGTGAATAAAAATTTTCTAAATTGAATTTATTAAACCAAGAATCACAATTGATAAACTACCACTTTAAAATACATATTTACTGTCCGGAGCAAGTTGGCATCTCTGCATATAGAAAACATATAAAATCTATTTTGCTATTCTTTATAATTATAAAAACTGTCTAAGAGGAAAAAAAAAAAAAAAAACAGTTTGATTATAGGTAGTATTTAATTTGTATCGAAATATTTTTTTTTCTTTTCGATTGGCAGGCACTGAACTTTATTCGGTAGAATTAGAAGATGCCAGAGTTGTTACTCATTTTGCGTTACCCAGTGGGCACCTGTGAACCAAAGTCACGAAGGCGAGTAACATTGCCTACGCCACACTGCCACAAACCCGCTTATAGGGTGGGCCACATTCATACATAACACACAACAGAGAACAACACAAGAGAGAGAAGCATCCATGCCCAGAGCGGAATTCGAATCCCCGGCCATTGGCTTCACAGTCAGGAGAGCTAACCGCTCGGCCACCTTGCCGGCTGTATTAAAATATAAAATCCGAAATAAGTAGTTTGAAATTTTTTCCCTTTCTAATTCAATAAGTTTATCAGCAATTGATTTTGTAAATTAGAGAAATTTCAGTTATGAATAGCTATTTATCTTAGATATAAATAACTGCACATTTGTTTCGAAGTGAACCGTGTTTTAAAGATTTTGTCTTTAACGCCGAAAAAGACATCGATGTTCCACGCTGTCTATCTCAGATATATAATTTTAATGCTAAATAATTTATTATTTTATATTAATATAGCTAGCATTTATTGCTAAACTATTTTGACCTAAATTATTACAAAATAATGAAAAACATGATACATTTGCGGCAAAGGGTAGATAAACGTCTGACAACTTGAAAGATAGTATTACAAAATACAGAAAATGAAACAATAAACTGTATTTTTTTTCTATTTTAATTTAAAAAATCAAACACAAACATTTTAGATAACTTCATTAATCACTTTTATATACACGAAATAAATCCAATTTTTTTTCCTCTGTTCTGTTTATTTTTATTTCATAAACCATCCTTTATACACAAAATAGTTTTAATACTGAAGATTACATTCATATTTACAAAAAGAAGTATGCATGTTGATATTTTTCAATTTGCTTGAATATGCCATCTTCTCACGGGTGAAAATAAAAACCAATGTGCAATCTCAATTTTACGATGTTGAATCCGCACTTGGATTAATTTTCTCTAAAGCCAAAGGTAGTTCGGTAACACTGAGGAACGCAGAATATTTCTTGTATTCCAAAGACACCTGGAAAAAAAAAACATAAATACAATTTTGTGTTTTGCTGTATTTCAAATTTTTATTTAGAAAATTTAATTTCATTCAGGCAGAAATTATTTTTTATTAAGATTTTACCATTTAACACACTGCAAGCGGGTCACGTAAAAATACATTTTTGAAATTTCTGCAAACCATGCAAAAGTTAAAAAAATTGCAGCAAAACTACTTCGTTTCCACTCTGTTTTTCAAAGAATTGATCCATTTGTGATTACTACAAATATAAATGATTCAGTTTATATGTAATCAATCCTTCTTAAGAGAATAACGTTTTTAAAATGTCATACTTTCAAATTCAGCTGGTAGCTAACGTAATAAAAGGCCTGCTTAATTTGATTCGAAATATGTAACCACTCTTTTCATGAAGTCACTTTCCTCATTATTGCTTTTTTCATTATGTTTTGTAGAGACAATTAAGAACTAAAGTATTGAGAATTTTTGCTTATTTCGCAGACATCAGTTTATAAGCAAAGCCGAATTGTTCCCCCTCTCTCACTGCGGGGCTCTTAACACTAGGTTTACATGACGCGTCATTTTGATGCATTTCGAGTTTTGTAAGGAAAATTATAAAACCCGTTTGAATTTTTATTTTATCTCTTGTAATGACTTTTAACCATTGATCGAAGTAAATACATATTGAAAGCTATTTTCTTCAAAAGCGTTGAAATATTGAAATTCTCTAGCTGTTATATACCTATCTCTACGGATATGCGTCAATTTGACGCGATCATAATTTAGACAAAATTTTGAGTAAACATTCAAACATCACATCAATAATAAATAAGAATGTACCGACAATACTTCGATTCGTTATCTCAAATAAAACAAGTGATAAATAATTGTTGCTGATAATCAATAATAGAAAGAACAAACGCAGAATGTCAATTGATATCAGAGTGCCAGATTTTGAAGGTTTCAAGTTGCATAGTTTGAGTATTGAAACATGAAATCTATATATATATTTCTCTTACACGGCACCAAAAAAAAAAGCCTCATTACAACTCCCCGAATGGCAACGTTAAAAAATCGACCAATGATTGCTGCTAAAAATGTCACATGGCATATGTCACATGAGGTGGCTCAACATATAGCGCTTTTAAAAACGGCAACAATAACCAGAGTGAGCATTATCAAGTTGTTCAATTCAGATTCATGCCCTAAAAACATGATAATATTTAATTTAAACTCAATTAGGAATTAATTAGGCTGGCCTTCTCCATGACTATAAATAAGTCACAAGGTCAGACTTTTGAGAAAATCAGTTTAGTATTGACTAAACAAGTTTTTAGTCATGGACAACTTTATGTTGGCCTGTCAAGAGTTAAGTCATTTGACAGCCTTTCAGTAATTGCTCCAAGATGCCAAATCTATAATTGTGTTTTCAAAGAAATTCTAAATGCTTAGTGTTAATTTCTTAGAGCTTTGCAGAAAAAAATGTTTTTTGGAAAAAATTTAATTGAAACTTCTATTGGCAGTAGGCAAGGGGAACTGCCAAAATCAAAACTCCCCGATTAGAAATGCAGCATGGCGACCTCCACGTGGTATTTCTCGGGTAATGCTAACAGCCATGCATTTTAATTTATTGTATGTAAAACATCCTTATTTTGTTCTAAAATGTTATGTACTTTATCACAAATGTTAATTAATATAGAAATTGATTTCAATAATGCTGATCACCAAAAAATATTTCATTTGGCGATAAAACAAATTTTTGTGTTCTTGAAAATGAAAGACTTTTTGAGGGTTATTATCTCACAAGGAAAAGTTAGGGTTTAAAGTTTATATTTTTAAATAATAAAATTTTTTTCTAAAACTTTCAGAATTTCTAGCATTAACTAATTTATTATACACATTTAGTTGAATTTAGGTGAGTAACTGCAATATTTGATAATTTATTTTGCTAATATGTTTCTCATTTAGCTAATGTTTTGATTTTTTCACCATGTACAATCTAAATAGCTAATATACTTTTTTAAAAGCCAATAAGAACATTGATAGAATTCTTCTACATAAGTACAATACTATGTCTTTGATGATAAAATACTATGTCTTTGATGATAATATACTATGTCTTTGTGCTAGAACATTGTGTTCATTGGCGAGCGAGCGCAGTGAGCCATGGTTCACGGCGTGAACCACATAGGATTGCGTAGCATTTCTCGGGGGTTGGCGAGTGTTAGCGAGCAGGGGGCGGAGCTTCCTAGTACTAGAATATTTCATAAATATATATCTCATATCTTCATTTTTTTCGTATAGTATACAATTACATTGGTTTTTCAGTGCAGAGATGCCAACTGCTCCGGACGTGCTAAAATAATTAAAGAAATGGTAATAACAGCAAAGTTAATTTTAAATATATAAAGTGGTGAAATATACAAGCCTACGAATTATTTAGAAATAGTGGTGGATAAAAATCTTCTTAATTGAATTTATTAAATTAAGAATCACAATTATATGTATTCTTTCATACGTCATATTGACGCGTGTTCGTAGAGATAGGTATATTAGAGCCCCTGATTTAGACAGGCCGACTTATCATTTATTGTTGGAGCAAAGAGCTAACATAAGCACAGCGAATAAATATTTTCAAGTGGTAGTTTATGAATTGTAATTCTTGGTTTCTTAAGTTTGATTCAGTAGATTTTAATCCGCCACTATTTCTAAACAATGCGTAAGCTTATATAATTCGCCACTTAATAGATCTTATTACATGCTTTACACTTTTAAAAGCAAGCAAATATTGTTAACTATTTGAAAAATTTACTTTGTGTTTATTTAACGTTTTTTAAATTATTTTGGAGTGTCCGCAGCAGTTGGATGCAACGAATACTAAAATAACGTTAAATTGCGAACTTGTTTGCTCCAATAGTGCTTGATAGGTCAGCTCTGATAGTATAGAAGCCTTAAGGTATATAAGAAACGTCCGTAAACCTAGTGATGTATTGGTTCATGCGTCAAATTGACGTGTTTTCGTAGAGATAGGTATATAAGAAACGTCCGTAAACCTAGTGTTAAAATGTAAGCAAAACTACCAAAAATTCTAAAAGCTGTTCAGTGGTCGGAAAACTACATCATTTATGTAGTTTACTAGAACAATTTTATTACAAATGTAATTAACCACAACGATTTTTTTTTAAATGTTGTATTTTGTATCTCACTACTACAAACTAATTTGGATTTCAGTAACTACTTGAAGGAGACGAACTTTGCTGGAGAACTTAATTTACACCTATGTTCAAAATGGTTTTGAATAAGAGATTGGATAACATTAAATATAAGGCAGTAATTAAGAAATATTTATTTATACTTAGAATAAATTTATTTTTTAAAACATTTTTTTTCGAATTTGTTCATTTAGCCTTCAACTTTTGATAGCTTTTTCAACAGCGAATATAGAATTTAAGAAATGCGGAGTGATTTTTAAGTTGCTTTTAGTTTAGTATTTTTAATTTTAAGTAATTTTTTCACCACTAAATATCAAAAATTATAAGTATCATATGAAATGCAACGTTAAAGCATCAATCTACTGGCTACTATATTAAAAAGTAATCGTTACTATCTTCCTTCAACGAATTTTTCTATATAATTAGCGAAATTCCCGAACCCTCTAGTGCCACCTAGTAGCGAAAATAAGCATGAGATGATGGTCGTAAACAGGGAAATGGCGGGATCCGTATTGAAATCAGGGGAAAAATTTCTTCGATTTTCACGTGACCCGTAGTGGGGGACGAAACAGATACCCCTCTCAAATCGCGGGAGCCGTACGAGGAGGGTTAATGCTCTTTTATTTCCTCTAAAAAAATTAAATACATCAAAATATGTTCCTTTTCTTTGAAATAACATCAATGTTTTACGCATCCGCATGTTAAATGTTGACCAAAGTGATTAATTATCTATTTTGCGTAATGGTCAGTTTAAATATTAGTTATACATGATTTTAAATACTTAATCTCTGCTAAAGCTCAGCTGCAGCCACAGGGTCATTTTCATTGATTCCACTAAATGACTTGAGATGATTTCTCCCATCAAATTCAAAAAATTAAATGAGTTAGAATCGTATTTCTTTTATATCCTAACTATGAGGGTAGGTGCTAAAAATATCTACAAACTACTGTTTTTAATTTTTTGTTTTGCACAACTTACTTCACTACGTTTTTCTTTTTTAAAAAAATGCACCACACTACACTACAAAAAAAAGTAGCGACTTAAGTAGTTTCACTTATTTTAGTGCACTACTTCCGACCACTGATCGTGTTATTCTAGGACAAATGAATTATTAAAAAGAGATTAAATTTAATACTAAAATTGGTTTTACTTGGTGATTTAATTCATTACTTTTATTAATTAAAAAAATTCTTTAAAAAATTCAGTTTTTTTTAAATTTCTAATTAACTGATTCAGTGTTGCGCCTTCTTTAAAAAAATAATTAAAAGTGTACCCTCTTCCTAATATGAAACTAAAATTTTTGATCATCGCCTGTAGTTCCTCAAACACACAATCGCCACAATAATATACAATTGTCCAATATACAATCTACTTACAAAACAGATTGATGGTTTACGGATAAAAAGAAAAGTCAGATTGTGTCGCTTTTACAACAGCTTATGTGTCCGGACCAGCTCCGTTCACAGAGTCATACAATTTAAAGATAAAAACTAAAACAAACGATAATGCGCGTATTTCGAAAAGTGGTAGGAAGTACCTCGCTACTACTACTGTAGTCGCTATACCTTCTGTAGTCGCTACTTTTTTCCGTAGTTTGTTGTGTATTGCTCTACTTTTAAAAAGAAGTAGTGTAGTGAGTTGTGTGATACCAAAAAACAGTAGTTTGTAGCGATTCCTGGCAACTACTTTTAACGTTGGTTAAATAAAGTTCAAACGCAAAACAATTTTCGATTCTGATTGGTGCAAATCCGCCGTAGGCCCTACAACGTTATCAATGAGAATCCCGCTGTGGACGAGCGTTAATAAGATCTGCGTCAGTTGCTTAGAAAAATCGGTCGAATGGGTTGTGAGAAATAGAACTTTAAATAACTGACTTTTTAAAATTTCGATTTCGCAGGAACTATAAAGTGTCTGAATTTTTGTGCCTGATTTGGTTAAATAAAATATCGTCTGCAGCAATTAATTAACATATTTGCGGTGACCCTCTCAAACCATTAAGATTGGGTTCTAGAGCTTGAAGATCCGATCATTACATCAAAAGTTATACAGGGTGGTTCATTTTTTGTTGTTGCCCTGTGCTTTATTTCTCGTATTATATAAGAAGGCATTGATCACCTAAATCCAAATATTTAATAACTTCTTAGTATTTCTTAAATGAAATATTAAGCGTCGAGAAAAGCAGAAAGTTTAAATGAGCAAATTCGTAAAAAGTGCTTTGGAATAGAACACTTTTTCATGTAAACATGAATTAAAACTATTAAAACTTCTTAATATCTCCTCACATTTAATCAAGTCAATTTTATTATTCAAAGTCATTGAGAATATTGGGGATAAATAAGTTCTCAAATTAAGTTTGTCCTCTAAAAGTAACAAAAAGTAGTGACTATATATCGAGAGCAGTTTGTAGACGTTACATTTAAAAAAATAAATAATTGTAGATAACTTGAGTTGTAATAAAGTAGTTGTAGTTGTGGTTAACTACAAAGAAAGTGTAGTTTTTCCGACCACTTATTTTAACCCTTTTCTAAGTCATATGCCCCATTTGGAAACACCACTTTCAAATTTATTACATACTACTAGAACTCCACTTAGTGCGACTACTTTCTTCTATATGAAAATTTCGTTCGATGTTTAGGAAACTCAATTAGTGAAATGACACGGATTATAAATAGATTTCCTTATTTCCAATATACAAGTCAAATAGAAAGAAATATATTATAATATTCTGTTATTTCTGTTACTGTGTAAATTGGCGTAATTGGCGCAAGATATTTATACTTGTGACCAGCCTGTTTAAGTTTCCGAATTATATAAAAAAATGTCCCCTAAAATATTTTATATTCTACCACACTAGATGGTGCTGCCATCTAGTGTGGTAGAAACTAGACATCCAAATCAACATGGCCAACGGTATCTCACCCATTGTGGTGGTCCTGAAAGAGTGGATACCACTTCTGGAGAACGAATAAGGTCTCCTCATGTGTGCGCACTTGTGCAGCTCATTGGAAATAAGAAAAAAATATTTTATATTAATTCCTCAATAACAGGCCACATAAAGTGACCTACACATGATAAAAAAATGAGAATACATGATGGTTAAAGCTAAGTAGCTTTTCTTCATCTGTGTTGCTTTAAACATTAAGTAAAAAACAAAACAAAAACCAATACCGAAACAAATATTATAATTTGGGTTATCTATAACATACAAATTCTTACTTTTGTTGTTGAATGAGTTTTAAATCTGTAATGATGCAATATGTTAGCCATACATAACTTGATCTCCAGCAAAGCAAATCTCATTCCCAAACAGTTCCTCGGTCCCTCGCCAAATGGTAAATATGCATATTGTGGATGTTTAACATTAGATGAATCCATGAACCTAGAAGTGAATAAATAAATTTAAAAAAAAAGAATTACAGAAAGAGTATCACCATATATAATATTTTCAAAGCTATTTCGCCAAAGAAAATAAAAATGGCACAGTTAAAGTGCCTCAAACTCGAAACAAAGCTATAATTATGAGCTAAATACGTACCATCTCGCCGTTAAGAATTATCTAGGACTTAGACCTGACAAATAGTTTATAATTTTTGTTAAAAATGTTCAATTTTGTCGAAGTTTTTTCATTTAGAAGAAAATCATTATAATCAATAAATAATTCTCAAGTTTTGTAAGTTTTTATTCGCACAAGAAAATATAAGTTTTCAAACATTAAAAAATTAGGGAAAAAACGCATTTTATTTTTGGAAAATCTTGGCTTCTCTTCAGCCTGACACTTCACGTCATTTTCATAATTAGCACATAAGAAGTGGGAAAAAAAGTTATAATAAATAAACAATTTTTATTTCTTATAATGGTCAAAATTTACTCAAAAAGTTATTAAGTTAATAAAAAATTAGTCAAAAACCGTGAGTAACTGTTGCAAAACTCACTGCTAACGACCGTTATTTCCTATGTAAGCAGAGACTTCGAAGGAGGGGATTTGCTATTTTTTAGTGTTTTGTACGATGGGGAGGGGGGAGGTATTATACAAAGTACGTACATTATAAGCATACACCAAATTTAAATTTGACTCTTTCCTACACATGTATTATGCATATGTTTGTTCTTAGCGTTGAATTACACCGCTTACTAAGGATATATTCTCGTAATGTACTCATTGCATCTACCAGC